GTTCAGTTTGCTTTCCATTTACACACGATAAGTTATCTCAGTTACTGAGCTCGGACCGGTCTCAGCATGGATCGGTTTTTTCAAGGGTAGTGGAAATGCGGTTTTTGTTATCTGCGAATTAAGCTAAAACTGAACCTCGCCGAACACTACTGATAAATTAGCACCAGTTTAGGGCGGTTCAGTTGTGTCTGGCGCGGCCCGGTTTAGTTTGCCGTCCAATTTACACTCAACAGTTGCCTTGGTTACCGTGCTCGGACCGACCTCGGCACGGTTTCTGAAGAGTACTCTAAATGGGGCTATTTTCTCAGCGTAATTCTAGCAGGTTTGGTCTTATCTGTTTTCCCTGTGCTGTGCTGTAAGCCCCTCCCCCCAGCTTCAGTTCCACTGATGCGTTGGAAAAAAACAAACATGGAAAAACAAAAGCAGCGTGCAGAGAACCCACAGAGGTTTTGGAGGCCACCGCTCCCTATAAGGGCTTTTTTTTTTACAATTTAGAATAAAGAAAAATGAAATAAAACACCCAACAGAAACATTTCCATCCATTCAGTCCGTTCTTTAACCCCTTCATGTCTGAACTGATCAGGGCTGCATTGATTCCAGGTTTCTGGCCGATCACTGATGATGATCTTTAAAAAGCCCAACCTGCCGTTTCTAATTAGAACAAACAGATTAAAGTTATTAGATCCCAGCGTTTAAGGAATTGAAAACCTCTGACATAATAAAAAGATTAGTTTTATCTGCAAAAGAAAATCATTTCAAGTATAAATGAAAAGCTTTTCAGACTTTTGCAGAAGATGGTAGGTTAAGATGAATTATTCTATTCCTGATATACATGTTTATTTAAAAAAGGTTACTTTAACTGTAAATAGACCTTCCATAAAGTTGTTTACTCTGACTATCAATTTGCTACACAGAGGCACCCAGTGGGCCGATGAGGGGAGCAGCCTGGGTCCCGACCGCCATGCCAGAGACATCGAAAGCCTGGACCGCTACGCCATGGAGCGCTGGGAGGTCATCCTGCAGTTCATGGTGGGGTCACCCAGCGCCGTCAGTCAGGACTTGGCTCAGCTCCTGATCCAAGCAGGCCTCATGAAAAGGTTCAGAAACATCCTTGATCCTCTTCCAAACATAAATATAAATAAAATACAAAACATACGTTTAGACAGGATGTTAACCCTTTTAATAAATCATCTGATGTTTAACCTGCTGCTTATTGCATTCCGCTCATTTATTGGAGACGGTGTAATTCTGTATGAAATTACTGGAACCTGCTGCCACCTGCAGGACGGAGGCCATATTACGGCCTCTTCCTGCTGGAATCTAACCGTTTGTCTCTCACTGAACACAAAGCGAGGCAGGAGAAGCGCCGTATATCACGTCTGCTGGTTTCCAGTTCCTGCTTCTGGACACAGCCTCTCAGCTTTGGTACTTCACCTTGCAGTACCTGAAAACTGCTCAGGTGACGTAAACCTGGATGTTAAATAGAGAGTCATGTAGGGAACCTTTATGTTTTTGTCTTAATGAATGTAGACTTTTTGTTCCATGTCTTCCAGTCTAGAGGAATGGACCTGGTGGAGATCTTATCGTTCTTGTTCCAGCTCAGCTTCTCTACTTTGGGGAGAGTGAGTCCAAACGTCTGCTTTGATTTGCATAATGTCTGCTGTCCTGTTTAGTCTTTTTGGAATGTTCGAGTCCAAATGATAAATATTGTTTACAGTGAACTTTAAATTTTAGAAGAAGAAAGAAGAATTCAACTTCATTTTCATTGCATTGTCACAAGTACTAATCAATGAAATTCACCTTCTGCATTTAACCCTTCCCTTTGGGGAGCAGTGGGCTGCTATTGTGCGGCGCAAGCCGAGTGCAATGCCTTAACCACTAAGCCACCACTCCCCAAACACTCAAATATCACTATTCCAAACAAAAGAGGATAAAAAACAAAACAACAAAACTATATTTTATAATAGACTAAATGCCTCAACACACTGGTTGTCTATGAGATTTAAATCCCCCCATTTTTTGTTTTTTCCATGTGACACTGTCTGCGTGTTAGGCTTAATCACCCAAACACTTCTCAAATAGAAGAAGGAAGAGCGACGTTAGATTCTTTATACCTCAGGGAGAGACCCGGCAGAGATGACATCATTACAATCTCCTACCAATCTGAAGCACCTCTGCTGCTTTCCTCACTCTTTATTGGAAAAAGGGAGTCCTTAGTGACAATACATCACGCTGTAACTCTAAAGGAATGTGTGGGGAGTCAGTGTAGCGTGATGCAGTGATAGGCATACATTTCCTCATGCAGGCAGTGACCTTGAATTATACACATGAAAAACATTCAGTTCCTGGTGCCTGCAAATTAGTCTAATAAAGATAATAGAATAAATAAACATAATACAGGATAATATGAAATAAAAGAGAATAGCTGCATATAGAGAGGCTCTGACTAGGCAGGTTGAGTAGATCTATGCAGATCTTTGTCACTTCTGTCTTTGTGCTCTACACAAATTATAACAGTTTCCCACATTTGACTGGAACAGATTATGAAAAGTTATTAGACATAATTAGTGATGGGCCGTTCCTGGCGTTAATGCCAGACACTTATC